TGCACTTTAACATTTAAGTAATAGACTTACCTCCACGTGGTGTACCCTGGGCAACGTATACTCATACGGCAAACAAGTCTATTGATCGGCAATTGACTTCTGACTTCAAACTGCCATCACTCCCACTGTATGTCATATTCGACTACTTCCACAGTACTCATCTTACCTTTTTAATGCCTTTGTGCCTGTTCGTCTCTCTTTTACACTTGTGAATCACTCTTCTGTTTCCCCTCTCGACTTGTTGTCACTTTGATGTTCCTTCTCCTCTCTGTGAAGCTCCGAAGTCAGCTCTAGGGCTAATGATAACTATCAAAACGCCTGCCATTTGATATAAATAAATAAATAAATACATTTAAGTAAAGTTAGGGCAAACTGATGAATTCATAATTCGCGCATGTGGAGTAAGGTCTTGTTCATATTCTGGCCTTAATTTCAATCTCTGATCGCTCCCCCCCCCCTATCGAAATCCCTTATTGAGCGGTTTTCTGCATTTCCTTGTGGTGAGACTGGAATCTTGTGAATCCCCCCTTTCTAATAATTAAACACTTCAAGAGACAGTTTGCTTTTATCGTGCTATTTTTTTACATCATCTGATCATTGAAGAGAACGATCTCATGTTCAGAATGTAAATTCATCACTGAAAGTAAGTTGAAATAGATAGACTGACAAGCTAGTTGAAGCAAAAACTGCTTTAGACTATATTAAGCTTCTGAATATAATGTTACTAGCATGGTGATCATTTTATTAGCTGTTTTACAGAATAACGTTCACCGAAATTGGAATTTGTAATTTTTTTGTTCAAGAAGAAATCAAAATTCAACTACTTAAATGTTCTATGTGTTCGTTTACTGACATTCACGAATTCAAATAGCAACACCAATTTATTTTTTTTGTTAAAAGTTTGAATCAAAATCAGTCTAGTTGAACATTTAACCGGATTTAAAAAGAAGAAAAGCCAACGAACCAATGTAGAAGTAAAGAAAGTTGCGCACTTCGTGTGTAACATAACTAAAATGAAATAAAACAGCCTAGATTAACAAAAATTTAATTTGGAAGATTGAAATATAGATATTTATAAAATTGTATATTTGCGTATTTAAGTTTACCTGAGACTAAGGCCGTGTAGTTTTTTATTTTTTGTTTTAACAAGATTATTAAATAATTAGCGCCAATTAATGAGAATTTTAACCTGCTTACCTGCCGAAATTACGACCAACAACACAATGCCAAGTAGCACCATATCGAATATCGAATTCCTTTTTGATATGTGACGCAATATCCTTTTCAAGTGTGTACTTTTCTAATGCAGCAGCAGCCAACTCAATGGCCAAAGTCTGCATTGATTCATCCATATCAGTGTTCCTCACAACCGCCTTCTCGCCGATCAAATTTTTCGACATCCTTATAGGCTGCTCTTTTACACACGAAGTGCTGATTTTCCGCCTTTATACCAAGCACGTATAGTAGATTGGCCTCATTGGCCTCTCCAAATATTATTTCTCATTTGCAAATTGCTACCAGAATATATTATCTCTGAGCACGCTTCTCCGATTACTTGGTGACCTTCTAACTGAAGAAGGAATATGTTATTTCAACATATCTTTGCTTTGACGTTTTACGGAATTACGTGTATTGAAATAGGTATTTATACCTACTTCGATATGGAGTGTGCGATAGACTTACCTCCACGCGGTCCACCCTGGGCAGCGTATACTCATACGGCGAAAAGGTCTATTAACTGGCAGTTGACTTCTGACTTCAAACTACCATGACCTGACTCCATGTCATATTCAACTGCTTCCACAGTACTCACCTCACCTTTTTCTACCTTTTTGTCTGTCTGTCTCTTTTACATCTTATAAACGCTCTTCTGTCCCTCCCCCTCCTCTCGACTTTCTTTCACTTTGATGTTCCTTCCCCACTGTGAAGTCTGAAGTCAACCAAAGGGCTAATGATAACTATCAAAACGCATCCCTTTTGATATAAATAAATACCTACTTCAATATTAGAGAAAGGATTTTTCGCTTTTATACTTAAACCGAAATGTCCAATTTTTGTTTATATTTGCTCTTATTCCCGCATTTCGTTGCCTCATTTACAAAAAAATT